TGAATACTTAATTATTATTATGATTGAATTGTTATTACAATTAAAATTATTATTATTTGGCATGGTGCTAGTAGCAGTATCAATACTTAAAATCATGTTCGATTTAAATTAACCCAATTATTTTTTTATATTTCAGCAATTGGCTGAGGACTGTGTGCGCATATCACAATTATTGTTATTTTGTGAATATTTATGTGGCGTGGATAATCCCTTATTAGCGTACAGTGTTGAGAAACATTGTTACATTTCAATAGGACCAACTAGAGCACAGAGTGAGAAAGTTGACAATGAGAAAGACTTGATTAATAGACTATCACAGGTAAGTGTTGTATATAAAATGTATATCACTGGAGGACCAAACAGGTACTCAATTCAAACGCCAAAATATTTGAATATTTTGAGGAGCATCAAGACATTCACGTTATAGTCATCAAAGCAAATTTGGCCTTCATAGCCTTCTTGAGCTTCTGTGCTTTTAGCCTAATTGTCATATATGATTGACTTGATTACAATAAAAAAGGGTGTATACAGAATTGGCCTCTCATGGGATTCTCTCATCATCCGAATCGCACGGTCCCGTGTCTTCGATCTATAGGCCTCTACACAATACCGTGTAGGCTAGCATAGGCTAATTGCGTATCTTAAGCAGTGGGATGTGATTGGGCACGCCTCGAAACAAGGCGCCCAATCAGCTTGGACGTACTAAATTATAATACAAAATTCCACTTCCTGTTTTTATTATCACAAATATCAAGTTTCATGGGCGCCGCCATTTTGTTTAAAATGAAACGCAAAAGAGGGATTTGTTACATGCAAACTGATTGGACAATGATTAGCCGCAACTGACTACTGGGGGCGCTGTTAGAATATGCATATTTGATGGTCGTTCTGCCAAGGTCTGTTTAGAGGCTTGGCCGAATAAACTTAGACCTTGTCTAGCGAAGATGGGATTCTCTTTGCCATGATTATTTCCCCATTTGCACTTACAGGAAGATGACGATGATGTAATAATAGAGAGTAGTGGAGATGAAGGCAACCTAGAGAATACAGATGCTACTAATATTGGCAGATTGAGAGCACAAAAAGACGCATTAACAAAAAGAGTAAAAGAAGTACAGAGGAGAGAACAACATATTAAGGTTAGTGAAGGAACCAAGCATCCATGCATCCACTGCATGTTGTATTTATATTTTTATTTCAAATTTATCTAGTCTGGCTCTCAAAGTCTGTATTACCCGGCTGACTTTATGAGAATCATGTTGCTATGGCTCCGGAATTAATGTGATGTTACAACATTGTTCTCAACTTCTGCCTAGTCTGGTAACGATATAACAGAGAACAGAATAGTGTTTCTGTTGCATGACTTGTACACTGTGTATAATATTTTACGAAAGTTATCAATATAGTCTTTGTGTTTTGTTATTTACTGCCATGCATGTAAATGATTTCTCTGTGTACTTAATTATAGGCAGTTGTTGATAGACACAGTAGTGCCAGACCAATTGAACTCGAGGTCCATCCTGTACATCTTGTTCCAGATACCAATTGTTTTATTGATCACTTGAAAGGAATCAAATCAATTGTTGCTTGTACACTTTATACATTAGAAGTCCCATTAGTTGGTAAGTGATATTACTATGATGACATCATCTGTCCTTATTACAATTATATTATTTTATTCACAGTAGTAAAAATAAAAATGTATTCCAGGTGAAAAGTAAATTTACACACTATAAACAGCGTACTAACTTTCCGTCATTTATTTAAGCAATTATAATGGAGGGGGCCAATATACTGTATTTGTCTGATACATAGCCCATCCAATATATTGAATGATTTTCTCCTTGCGTCAGCAGATTTTTGTTTGGACATTGCTTATATTGATTCAATGATCTTCTCTATGCTGTGCCTGTGTGGTGTGTAGTCCTAGAACCAGATGTAATAATCCTTTATTCTTACTAAATATTGTATTTCTTTATTATTCAGTCATCAATGAACTTGATGGTTTAGCCAAGGGTAGTAGAGAAGGACAGTTTGCTGATTCTATGCATGCACAGCGAGTACAAGAAGCAGCAAATGCTGCGGTCTCTTTCTTGGAAGATGAGTTTGAAAGGTATAACAACAGAATGAGAGCAGTGACAAGTAGAGGTTCCGTACTTGACACCATTGCATTCAGAAGCGAAGATCCACAAGGTCAATTGGTATGTAGTGTTTTTTAACCACCGATAGTACATGTAGAGTGAATGTTTTCTCTATCTGTGAATCTGAACCCTTTCACCACCAGACTTTCTCGTCCAAATATTTTTGCACTTTTTTAGCTCCGCTGTCGACTTTGTCGAGCGGAGCTTATCATATGAG